AGCAAGCACTTGACGACAGCGGGAAGGAAAAACTTCCTTTAAACAGGAAGGATCCTGGAGAAGAACCAGGCTCAGGGAGGAAAACGATCTACCATGACAGGTTGGGGGTGAGGTGAAGAAGACAGAACAAAAGACATGCTGTGGAAGAGAGCCGGAGATTAATAATAACTAATGATTGAATGCAGAGAGGGTGTAAACATATAGTGAGTGAACAAGAAAGGGGAAGCCCCCAACTGCCTAAACCTATTGCAACATAACTTAGGGAGGGTCCAGGGTCACCTAATCTAGCTGTAATGATATGCTTTATCAAAAGGGAAAGTTTTAAGTCTATTCTTAAAAGTAGAGAGGGTGTCTGTTTCCCCGAATCCAAACTGGGAGCCAGTTCCACAGAAGAGGGGCCTAACAGCTGAAGACTCTGCCGCCCATTCTACTTTTAAATACTCTAGGAACCACAAGTAAGCTTGCAGTCTGATAGCAAAGTGCTTTATTGGGTTGATATGGTACTACAAGGTCTTTAAGATAAGATGGGGTCTGATTATTTAAGACCTTGTATGAGGGGTGAAGGATTTTACATGTGATTCTTATTTGACAGGGTGCCAATGAAGAGAAGCCAATATGGGAGAAATGTGCTCTCCCTTTCTAGTCCCTGACACTACTCTCTCTGCAGCATTTTGGATCAATGACTAATCTCATTTATTAAAGGTTGACAGCACTATACGTGAAACATTAGATTAGAAGTGTCATGTTAGTACGAAAATGAATCTTGCATTTCTTATTTTTTAGCCAAATCATCACACAGTGCATCCTCCACGTCTTTTACACATTTGGCAGCACAATCCGGAAACCATCATCTGCTCTCTCTTTCTCTGTGTGAATACTTCTGTTTTGGATGCACACACAGAACATTTGCTCTTACGTCAAAAACACATCATGAAGAACAGATGAACGCACAAGAATGCATATTGCGGCGGAGCAGATGTGTTTCAAAGATGCTGACAAATCTGTGCTGTATAGCTCGTTAGAAATGTTGGATTTCTGTCTCAAATGTCTGAATGTTAGGAAAGCCAGTAACACACTGAGCAAACTAAGTTATTGCATGAGATTAAAATGAAAGAAAAAAGAAATCAAAGTGATCTGAATGTGTTGCATTTACTACATTTAATCCAGAGACTTTTGATTGCATACTGCACAGAAGAAATGCACTCATATAGCCCGACGCAGTCACCTTTAGCCTAAAAGCCAGAACAAACAAGTTAAACACGAAAGCCACGGAAAATGTAAAACTACCAAAACAACACAGCATCAATGTTTGACCACGAGAGAAAAACCAGCAAACTAAAGTTACCTCTCTTTGTAGCTGTCTGTTTCAGCCTCTTCAAGGGTGGTCTGAGTCTAAAAGGAAGACTGAGATCTAAACTACAGATGGGACTTTTTTTTTTTTAACTAATTGGGCTTCCTACTGGCATCAAAGTGATCTGGCCAAGAAATGACTGTTGAATAAATAAGATATCCCAACATGTGCCAAAAAATGATCTGAAAGAATGTGTGTTTAAAGAAATAATCCAAGGTGCAGCACACTGCTTAGCAGAAGCTTGTGGTAACAATAATTACTTGTTTAATTTTTAATGATTAATAATTAATCTTTTAAGCCTGTTTTTTTTTCCACATATGTCATGAATACTCTGAATGAACAGCAGCTAGATTACCTCAATTACATGTTGGGCAGTATCACTAGTAGCGGCAGCATGACTCACATACACACACGCGCACACAGGCCAGTACTGAGTCACGCACACACGCTGTGTCACAATGCATGCATATTATCCAAACTCATGACAGCTGGCCATATGAGGTGCGTGATGTGTCTTTGCGCGCGCGCGCGTGTGTCACTCTCGTGCACGAGCCTCTGAGCAAACACCACAGTCTGGCTCCTCTGTGATGCAGACAGGGCCCATCAGAAATGCACGACTGCAGCAGGTTTAAGTGAGGTAACGCCTGACTAGGGGAGTATTTGTCTGGTACACGAAGAGTTACCCTGCATCTAAATGAATTTCACTGTCTGGGATTTTTATTTATTTATTTTAAATACTTTCATGCACGACGTAATTTATTGAGCAGCGCTGACCTTATCTTCCACAGCTCTCTGCTGTCTGTTCTCGCTGCTGTATGTTGTGAGTTATTTTGGTGCACTGCAATAACCTAGTTTGGCCTTGAATAGCCTCACTGTAATGTTCCCACATAACCCGAATGTGGCTGAGAAACATACACAGCTGTGCCTGTCGGTGGTCTTTTGCGCCCTCTGCTGGTCTACGAATGTTATCGGGTTGAAATATGGCCGAGCTTCTTCTCCTAGTTGCTTGTGCACAGTGAGAAAGGACAGTAAGTAAGAGAGAGATCAGTGTGCGTCTGCTGGTGCTCTCTGCAGCCCCGGATCAGACACGGAGTGTAATCTGCATGTACTAAAAGGCTCCCACCAACCAATCAACCACGGAACCTCCCTGTAAACACTTGCCTGATGTAAGCAAGTGTGTTTAAAACGCAGACAAGGCCAGTAAACTTCCCCTAATAACGCCGCACAGTTCGCAGTCAAAGGCGGCGCATTGCATATTCCCTTTCATCTCCCTGGTGCCTCAGAGACAGGAGTGGGTTTTAGATGGGAGGGATGAGGGCTGTAGTCAGAGGGGGAGGGCGGGGGGGAGAGACAACCAGGCTGATTCTCACAGTTTTGCCCCAGGGGTGTGTGCTGCTGCTGTTGCTCTCTCTTTGTTTGAAGACTGATTAGCAGAAAGCAAGACTAAAGAGGGGGAATATGAATTGTGCGCTCTGACAAAAGCTTCCATTGTCTATAACATCTACTTGGTGAAATGGAGGTAATGAATCAATAATTTATTTAATTAATTAATTAATTAAAAAAGACACACGAAAAATGTGCTCAGATCGGGTAAGAATCTAAATACCACCACATTCAAATTAAATTTTACACACTAGAAGATCTTAATTCAATACAATTAAATTATTTTTTAAAAGACGTGTCTGCAGTCAGATTACCTTAAAAATCAAAGCAATTTGTGTATATTTTAACTATATAGGTGGACGGAAAATGTAACTGCTCTGTGTTTCACAGCGCAGACTCACAAAAATACAGAAAAACAGCAAATAATAAATTAGCCATAATATGTAAATGTTCAGGTTGTTTCACTGCCCCCAAGTGGCCAAAAAAAAATCAATACCTTAAATGCAGCTTTAAACACATTACTTAACCCGTATGGATTTACTGCAGTAAATATATCTCACCATAAGATGGCACAGTTATCAAAAATTGCGCATTATTTAACATGAGGGGGATGGGGAGTTGCTGTGTCTGCATACACACTGTGGCTATGGCTGTAGGAAAAGCCAGCAGTGGTTTATATGGGCTTTATTCACAGGTTGGCAGTCTGCGTACACATTTCACAGACATTATAATGCAGCGTGTGGCAGTGAATTCTGGTTGGGGGGTCCTGCGTTAGTATTGATGCTGTCAGCAAGATTCCTCCTTCTCTCATTTGACACTTTGGGGTCAGGAGCTCTTGGAATTCTTGGGTGGAGACACATTTACTCAACACTTGTTCCTCCCTTGGCTTCCTAAAACCAAAGGAAAGTCAGCAACTTGGAATCTGATTTAAAATAAGAGCCTTGTAAATGGGGCCTCCAAAGAGGTTTTTACAAAGTTAATGACTTTTTATAAATTAATTTTATAAATAATGTTTTTTTTAAATGACAACGGTGTAAATGCTTAAAAAGTTCCTTAAAATTATTTAAATCAGGGGTGTCAAACATAAGGCCTGGGGGCAGAACTGACCCTGGCAAAGACTCCAATCTGGCCCACTGGATGGCTTTGGATCAACTTTGGAATTTTTACTGTATTTTTACAGCTTTACAGTTTTTAAACGTCTCTACCTGGCCATTCATACGACACCACAGTAATTCATCGATAACTAAATGACAGAAAATTTCCCTTTCCTTCACTATCTATAAAAAAAAATATTTTGGTGAATTAACACAAACATGTTTTAGAAATATACGTCAGTCTGATCAATGAGCTACACATTTATTTCTTACATTTCCAAGCGTAGTGCTCAAAGACTTATTTCCTTTACCACAAGAGCAATTCTTGAAAAACTAAGTTGAGAATGCACTTCGGGGATTAAACGCATTAAACTTGCTTGCAGTGACAGAAAGGGGGGATTTCACTAGTCTGGCCCACTTCGGATCCACGCTGATTTGCATACATTCACATCTACACACTGGCCTGTCTTCAACAAGCATAACTGTTCACAGTTAAAGTATAAGGGCCTCATAACCTCAAAATGAGCCGTTTCCATGAACAGCCAAACTGCTTTAATGGTGTGTTAACGTTAGGAATTCTGCACACATGTGAATTTTTTTAATGTTTTTGTTTTTTGTATCTAACTTATTGTTCTTCCTTCCTGATTCTCTATTTTGCTTAAGAAAATTTCAGTTGAACACAACAGTGCAAACTTTGGACAGTCACAATACTACTGCTACTCTCACATAGCAATAAATCTGTAAATCTGTAACCAGGTCGCTCTGTCAGCATGAAAGATGAGTATCATCATAATTCCTTTGATTTAATAATGCCTTCTATGCTTCTCCTTTGTCCACATTGCTGCTGTAATGGCCCAGGCGCCCTCAGGATCAATAAAGTACATCTAATTTTTACTTAATAGAGAGAGTACTGCTGCTCAAAGATCACACAATTACATCAGAGGGCTAATCTGAAATCCAACATCAATGATTCCCCTGAGAGCGCAGGAGCCACAACACAATGCAATAGCAGAGCAAAATGAGGATTGCAGGATAAAAGTTTTCCTAATTTATAACGTCAGTGGATTTAGAGTACACCCTGTTTGCTACTCATCGAACATTTTACAGTCGAAGGTAATGAGGAAGAAAAAGGACTTTGCTCGCAGAGCCTTTATACCGTGTGCAGGTCTTGTGATGCTGCGGAAGTGTTTTGATTTTCCCAGAGAGCAGACACTGACCGACATCTGTAAGGTAACTATTCTTCTCAAAACTTCCTTTACTTACGCCGTCATCTTGCTTTCATCAAACTCGAGTTCGTGTCTTTACATCGAGCAGTTGCTGCACTCTGCATCGCTGTTAAATTGAAAGGCACACGTCCAAATCCTTCTCTCTCACTCCCTGAGAGCTATGCATTATTGATGTCAAGGCATTTCATACCTGTGAGTTAGTGGAGCTGAATGAAGTGAAGATAAATGCTTGTTATGGGACTTGAAATGTAAACATAATCAAATGTTATTGATTATGCATCTGTATTCTAGGCGATTTATCCAAACTGTGTGCACCCGTGACCTGATCATGGAATGGAAGAGCAATATTAGGCGTACCCAATCGCTGAAGAGCCTCAGCTCGTCATGTGATAAGCCAGTCTGGACGGATGCGGGGCTGCGGGACAAGACGACGTCAGTGTCCCAATTGGTGGCCAGGTAAAAAAAAAAAAAGCATCAGTCTCTCTGTATCTGTGCACCCCTCTAAGCTACTTGTAGGTCATTAGTGACATCAAATCATTAATGTGGTGTTTGTGTTTGTGACAGATATCAAACTGCTGTGAAAGGGAACAAATCCATTCAAGGACCCTCAGTAGATAACGATGACAGAAAGCCAAACCAGGTGCTAAAGGAGGTAACTTCTGATTTTTTTAGCTGTTTGTCCAATTAATGAAAAGCATCAATGGCATAGCAGGAAAAAGAATAATCACTGCAGCTGGATTTACACACACTTCCCTCCCTTGTGTATCCTTTTCAGATAACGCCATCTCGACTGGAAAGTAAAGAGACTCATCTGGAGTCTCTGATGAGGAAAAGCAGTGAGAAGGAAAAGTCTCGAGCCAAAACCAATTTGACCCGCAGCAAATCAATGAGCAGCCTTAAAAGCAGCACAGGGTCCATAGAGGCCTTGAGAGCTCTGTTTGAGTCAAAGGCCTCTCTTAAAAACAACGCAAAGACCAGCCTTAGAGCTGCAGACTTCACATCAAGTTACACGACAGACGTGTCAAAGATGAACGGAGAGGTTGAGGATGTACAGATCGCTGTGGAGGAACAGGGAATGGAAACATGCGCTGATAAAACTGATGTGAAGGATGATCGTGTAACTCGAAAGGTAAATACAACCTCATTATTACTTTAAGATTCCCTAATAGACCCACAGTTAGTTTAAAGGGTAAAAAATTCAAATATTTACCGATGAAAGCATGTGTGAAAAATATCAGGGTTTTTATATATTTGTAAATACAGAAAATATTCCTTTCTTCTTTCTTGAAGTTTAAAGATGCATAAACAAAGCTTTCATTGATTTCGCTCCAGAAATTCCAGCTTCAGTCATCTTGAAGTATTTTGCACCACCACCTTTTCACTTTCAGTATTATGCTGCCGCTAAATACTTTAAGAAACTGAAGCTGGAACTTTTGGAGTGATCTTTTGTGTGGAGATGAGTGGCAGGGGTCATTTGTGACAGAAAGATAGTAGCAAGAGTGGAAAAGAAGGTTTACAGAGTGGTAGTGGGAAAAAACTGGAGCTGGCAAAACTGAAGATGCTAAGACTTTCATTGGTGGATAGGTTAAGCATTTTGGAAACAAGTTAGGGAGACAAGGCTGAGATGGTTTGGACATGTGCAGAAGACCCCACCAAAGATTCATGGATACAGTGAAGGATGAGATGCAGAAAGACGTTAGAGAGACGGTGAGAACCCTAAAAGGAGCAGCCAAAAGAAGAAGAAGAAGAAAAAGACACACGCATTTAGAATTTCCCAACATTTGGTGGAATCCATTCTCTCTCCTAGCTGCACAGCGTTTCCCTTGCCAAGAACTACCACACACACTGAAAACACTTCATTTTCCCGTTTGCTTAATAGTTAATAAGGTGTTTTCAGCTGTTTGTGAGAAAAATCATTTTGAACATCGTTTTGAGCACTTGTTTCACAAAAGATCGGCTCATCCATCACACACTTCAGTGGTTCTTGACCTGCCTTAGGTCTAATGAATCCTTACTTCTTTCTCATTCATGTAATAGCATATTTTTTCTAGTAATGCTTAGATTTTTCCTGCAACTGTATTGACACATAGAAACTATGATGCACAATGAGTTTACTTAGCAGCAGTGATGTTTTATTGTTTCTCTCTATAGGTAGTAAATCAGCACTGGCCAGAGAGGAAAAGAACAATAGGGGGTATTGATTTTGAAAAAATTGCAGCATCTCAAGCTGGTGAGTATCTTCTTTCTAGCTCAGCAAAGCTTTGGTTGTGTCAGCCTGAATATCATATTACCCTGCCTGCTATCATGTTAAAGAAACGGACAAAATTAATGTTTTTTTAAAGCATTCAGAACAATAGTTTCACTTTTCTAAGATTAAAGGACTATCTCTTTATTGAGTAGTTATCAGCAGAGCTCGGATTTAAACTTTTTACAGTTTGATTAGGGATACGTGAGTAGCAACATAAACAAACAACGCGAGTTCATGTCATAAATTACACGTTGCAATAATGAAAGCAGCTACAGCGAGCTTCAAAGTGCAAGCTTCCAGGTAAAAGACCGGCTGATAAAACCGGGAAATACTGCGCCTTGATTTAGGTAATGAGTAAACAGTGAACTATGATGAATATGGTTTGGTTCTATAAATTCAGGGTCAAATAACAAACTGCTGAAGACGATTCAGCTTAAGATGAAAATATCAGAAAGAAAATAAACATATGTGGCTCTTTCAAAAATTTGTTCTGAAAGAAACATCTTTGGGCACAAAAACATAACAAAAATAAACAAAGATGTTAGACGTGCCTTGGAGAGCTGTCTTCAGCAAGTTCTGTCAAAGCTTTGGATGACTCAACTTGGTGTAGGAATAGTAAGCCACTCCACAACCAGACAGAAATAGCTGGTGTGCTACAAGACCAGAATAAGTGCAGGAGGGTGAAAGGGTCAGCTGTTTCCGGGAGAGGAATGGGACAGAAAGAAGGAGCGAGTGGCAGAGGCTCCATGACACAACACAAACCAACAGACAACTAAAGTTTGGAAGAAACCAAGAAGATAGGGAGAAAGGAACTGGGAATATTTCTTCTTCTGTGAGTAGAGATTTGTATTTTTGAATGAAAGGAGTGGCACATGCACTTAAAGAAGCTTAATACAGTATGTATGGTAGAAGCTGAAAACTAATGGCTATTATTCACATTTTTAACAGTTGCCCAAATCTGAAATATTAGTAGCTATTAGTAATATTAGTTAACTGATACTGCAATGAGTTTTATGTTTCTTCTTCTTTGGTCGCAGAGCCTTTTTTGCAGTGTTTTCCAGCTTGTGGACTCATGATTTCATAAAGTATCTGTACTTTCATAAACAGCTTTGAGACACATCTGTTTACCTTTGAACTTCGATGCTTAGTCAACCGTTGTTGCAGTGACTTGCCTGTTTTAACTAGTATGCGTGTCAGCAGAGTCGGGTATCTCTCCTGCTCCACAACAAGCAGTACATTTATAACTCGGCCACATGACAGCTGTTAATATCAGCTTCGAAAGTGCTGGACCCAGAATTGGGACCTGTGTTATTAACAAATAGCACGAGCCGTTTGTTAATAACACAGATGTCAGCCGTATGTTGTTAAACGAGCCACGACTTATTTCCAATCTGGCTGCGTGTCGATGATGAAAATGTCACGAGACAACCCTGATCAGTTTGACTTCTTAACAGAGCCATAACAAAATTTAACATTAAAGCTCCCGTGTCTGATGTCTCTGCAGATGAAAAGAGGAGGTCAGCTGCAGACTTCAGAGACAGCTCTTTTGTCCAAACCAAGGAGAAACTTTCTGTCTCGGTGAAAGCAATATCAGCTCTCTATCTGTCCAAAGCGGGAACCAAGGAATCAGCAAACAGTCCTGTAAAATTGGTACATGTCACATCTCCCCTTCTTTTTAGTTCACCGTTAATTATAGAAAGTAAACTTGTTTAAATTATCTCAGAGATTTTTATGCAAGGTAAAAAAAAAAAAATCAAAATTTTTTTTGGCAATGAAAATAAAGAGTTAAAGGTTTATTCCACCAGCCTTTATAGTGTAGATTTTCAGCTACACATTGAAGTTTGGTATCTATATGTCATCATAATATATCATAAATTAATTATTGATAAGTGAATTTCTGGCAGCAGCCAAACAATAATGCTGATGTAATTCTTTTAATTATTATTATTTCTTTGCAGGAACGAAAAGTGTCACGTGAGTCTGGGAAAAGAGTAAACCAAATCAAGGTAAAGTGCAATGTCACTGTGGTGTTGCATGATGTTGTGATTGATGCACATTGTTCTGTGCACACTGGATTTGCACAGCGAGCAGTATCGTGTTCCCTTTAGCTCAAAAATCCAAAATATGCTGCTTACCTGCAAAATAAAGAAACAGATTCCCTTCACAGACTTCCTCACGCTTTTATTTTTTACTCATTTTGTGGTTGCATTTGTGGTTGTACTTGCTGGTTGCTTTGGAGTTCAGCTAAGCAGCTAACGCGTGGCATGAGGAAAACAAATCACCTGGCATGGCTCTCATTCCTGTGAGTAGGTGTGACTGCTCTTGAGCATGAATTTCTCTGAATGGATGAAACAGTAAGAAACATTCCTTTGTTCTTCTAAGATGTCAGAAGACTCAAGTGTCCAAGAAAAAGAGGATTTACCATTACCTCCTTCAGCAAGACATCAGCCAGAATTAGAAGAAAGCTGTAGGACAAATTCTCCGCAACCTAATCTGCCCCAGCTTTCCAAAGAAATGTTATATCAACAGAGGCAGAAATGTGAACTGAGGCGTCTCCTGAAGCACACCCATCCAGAGGTGAAGATGCTGGATGATGTTGTAGATGAAGAGCTTGCTGAAGTTTTGAGCTCAGAGAGGATGACAGCTGACGTAACTGGATACGAGGGAGAGGTCCTTTCGAAACGCTTGATATTTGAGAACTGTGGCTCGAGTAACAAAGTGTCTCACTACACCCCCAAGATGCACATGGAAGGGGGACGTGAGAAACAATGTGATTTTAGTAAAACGCTGGCTGTTCTGGAGGAAACAAAAGAAACGCCTCGTGCAGAAAGTGCTAAAGAGGTTATGGAAGCTGAAAAATCTCTTGGTATTAGTCCAGACACTGACAGAGAGTGTGAGGAAGAGACGGTCAGACTAGACGTTCAGGCTACCAGAAGGATATTTGAGAGTCAGTCTGTGAACATGTCTGGGCCAAATCTGGGTAAAATCCAGGGAAAGGTTTCTATTAACGGGGATGAGACAAAGGAAGTCCAAAAACAAAAAAAGCTATTTGAAATGGCTTGCAGTGAGAGTATACACAGAAAAAATGAAAGCACAAGCAATGATTTAGCAACAGAGCCCCGTGAACAACCATGTCCTCATGTCAGTCAAAGAACTGAACGCGACTTCTCATATAATGATGAGTTTTCCACTGAGGAAGCACTCTTTGAAGAGGAGTCTATAAGCTTATCCGATTTGGAAAAGAATGATGAAATTATTAAAACAAGGGCAGCTCTTTTTCAAAACAACCCCTTTATCTCCACCAACATACAAAGAGAGCCCTCCGTTGTGCATACATCAAAAACTCAAATCACAAGCAGTAGCGGTGCAAGTGAGGACAACACGACCACCAATGTTAAAAACAGAACCCATCTTTTTGAATCAATGCCATTTGACAAAATTAGACGTCAGAACGAGGATGAAATTGAGACAATGGTGGAGAACATCAAGGAAACGCTGAATTTCCTCTACCAGATTAGAGTCATCCAATCGTTTGGCTTTATCATTGAGGTCAATGAGACAATGATTGCTAAAAAAGCTAAGTTTACACTATCAGAGAGTGGGCCTGAGATAAAACATGACGAGGTGGCTGAAGGCGGTGCCCAAAACTTCATACTCCAGCTGCTACCACGGGTAAACCTAAAACCTCAGGTCACTTACCTAAAGGAGGACAGCAAAGGGGATATCGAGACCACGGCGGTGACGGCACCTGTTCAACAACATCAGTTCAATGCGAACAAGGACACGGAGTTCAGAACTGCCAGTGTGGTTCAGCTTGTTGAGGATATTCTCAATCAAGATAACTCTCTGAGAAAAGGAGTGGTAATCCAAGAGGATGACAACAACTGTGCCAAAGTCATTGTTTACTCCCTCTACAAATACCATAATGAGAAGGATGTGAAGAGCTTCGTCCCTCCAAAATGTGCTGAATGTGATCAATCAGAGCTGGAAAGGGGTGACATGAGTAAAAAAGGCCATAAAGAAATAAAAATTGCTACTAAGTCAGTCCAAGGTGATCTACTTGAACTCTCTCAAGAACAAACATGCCCAGGATCAATAACACCTGAAGGGAAAGTAAAGGGGAGTGTAAAACTATTCAAAAGCTGCATTGAAAAGGGAGATTTTGAGTATTTAAAAAGTCTTCAGACTGAAGAAGCAGTTCAAGAACTCCCTGAAAACCAAACTATGGCTGGACAGGAAGTTCTTCATGAAAAGGAAAGTGATCAAGTGCAGGAAACTACTGAGTGGGTACCCGTGGATGTAAAGAGGCTTAAAAGCATGTTCTCTGGAGACCCAAGTCAACACCAAGCAAAGAAAAAGATCCACAAAAATATATACGCAGGTCAAAATGTCTCTACAGAATGCAGTTCTGGGGTATTGTCTCATGTGCAGGAAAATAGTACAAGCAGTGAATGCACTGATGAAGCACAAGAGCAAGCATGTCCCAAAGTTGCGACGCAGGAGTCCTATGAAAAGTTTGAGAAACAAGATCACGAGCTTGGTGCCCACGAAGCTCAATTAGTCAAGGTGGTAGATCAGAATGAAGAGATCTCTAACCTCCAAACTGCACTGCATCAGTCATCACAAGAAAAACAAAAGACTATTATTCAGAAATCATCTGAGGAGCTCTTTCCCTCGGTTACAGCAGATACTGTGAAACGCTCAAGAGTAGAAGAAGAATTTCCTCAAGAAAACTTCACCTCAGCACAGAAAACAGATTACCAGCACAAAAATATAGAAACAAGCCACAAAGATGCTACTCCTGAGGAAACACACACTCCTGAATCGTGCAGCAACAAAGGTCAGGAAGGTGCAAGGGGGGCGCAGAAACAACCTTTAGAAACTCCTATGGTCACTACACAAAGTTTGGAAACAAGTCCTGCACAACAGGAGGATGAGGAAGTTGTTTTTCATGGTAAAATTAAAGCAGCTTTGCAATCTTTAGAAAGATCTAACGTTAATGTCACAAGAGGAGATTTTAAAGCAGCTATGATATACAGAAACTCTTCAAAGCCTCACAGAGAAAAAGCTCAACACGTGGATGTGGTGTCTATTCAAACGACCAGTGCTGACGAGCTTTTCACTGTGACTGAAAATGAAGCAAGTCAAATATCAGTGAAACAAGAGGCAACTGCAGCAAATCCAGAGCCTCCACACCAAAACGAAACCCAGAGTAACCCAACAACGAGACTCATTTTAGAGAAAAGCAAAAAGCCTACTGGTCCAAAACCAGCCATTCCACCTAAACCAGAACATCTGAAGGAGAAACAAAGCAATAACGAGTCAACCCAAAATAATTCTGATATCAAGGCTGAGGAGAAAAGAACCCAGGATTTAGCAGCCAAAAGTGATACGAGTGAAGCAGATGAAAGTCACATAGATTTCCATGATGCATTTGAGAAATTTGGAGGTAAAAAGACAAAGACTGCCCCTGTAAAGCCCAAAAGACTGAAAATCCCCCAACCAGACAACAAAAACCTGAAACCAGTGGCTGGAAATAAAGAAATGTCTGTTCTTGCACATGTGGATCCAGATGTGGCAGAAATTACAAGCAATCAATCATGTGACACCTGTGGAGAAACCACTGACAGTCGAGACAAGCATGAGAAAGAAATCAAGAAGCAAGAAAGCAAAGTCGAGATGAGGGAAAAGAAAGGGCGAACTGAGACTGACGACGAGCGCCGACAGCGACTGTCAGTTCACATGGATGAGATCGTGAGAGGGAACATACCAGCAGCAATGGAAATATTTGACAACTTACGAAAACAGCGGGAACTGCAGAGCTTTCTGAGCCGAGTTGAAGAAATTGAAAAAGACACAAGTGAGGTTGATGTAAGGTCTCTGAGGAGAGTTTTTGAGAACGTCCCCGATTGGGTTGTCAGCTCTAACAAAAAGAAACAAAACAAGGTCAGAGCTGACAACAAAGACGAAAGGTTGCCAGTATCAAGAGAAAGCGCTGAAAACAAGTCATCGATGGCACACGTTTTTGGAGATCTTGAGCGAGCGAGTGTGGAAATCACGACTCTTAAAGAGGAGACTTTAGCAAGAATCCTCGATGTAGAGGAAGCCATAAAGAAGGCACTTTATGCCGTCTCTACACTGAAATCTGACTCAGATATTGCTGGCTTATCACGTCTGTTCAAAGAATCCTTTGGGGTTATACAAGGATCCCCATCCTCTGGCGGTGATAATAAAATTAGCATTGGGTCAAGCAGAACAAAATCACTGAAAAGTGCTACCATGCAGGGAAACACAACTAATTCAGCAAGGCAAGATGCGAGCACTGATGAAGCCTCTGGGAAACCTCAGTCGAATCCTCCACCTTCACCTGCGTTTATCACTATCCAATCAGCAGCTAGAAAGACAAATAAAACCGACCTGGCACCACCAGAAGCTTTGATCTGCCCGACGTGTCAGCAGAGCCAAAAGTTGGAGGAGACTTTTCGGACGACAAAGACGCTGATATGCAACAGCCCTGCTCAAAACAGAAATGACCCACGAAAAGAAGGTCAGAAACAATCCACCTCCATCCCACTCAGTCCTCGACAGCTCAGCACGCTCGAGGTTCAGACAGACTGTGTCACAGGAACAAAACCAGTCACCGACAAACATGAGAAGACCGAAGGATCCGGAACAAAGTTTTAATCTTCCAGGACCTCCACTGTGGTCAACTCTCAGACAGAAACAGTGACATCGTCCACAAGGCATGTCATAATCAGTCCATCTACAATTCAGGTCACCACAGACCCACAAGTGAAGCTGCCAATCAATCAGACTGATAAATCGGTGCCTGAATAGGAGCACATTGGCAGCATTTTACCTGTTCGTTATGTGAAAGCTGTCACATATATGACTGTGTATGAAAAGAGATCAATTATAAGGCTTAAAGTTTGGGTTTTTGCTTTTGTATCTATTTTGATCTTAAAAACTGTCTTTGATTTGCATTATAATCAAAATATATATTTGATTTTCACTTCTCATTTCACTGTGGTTTACTATAAATGCTTTTGGTTTAAAAAAAACAAAAAAAAAAAAACATTTCCACTAAGGTCAGTCTTGTTTTTTTTTCTTCAGTTTCAACCGGCTTCTCGAGAGATGTGCTCAGCATGTCTGAAGCCAGTCTATCAGATGGAAAAAATAACTGCAGACAAATACTTTTTTCACAAAGCGTGCTTCTGCTGCAAACATTGCAAGAAAAAATTAAGGTGGGATGTTGGACTTATACAAAAAACCTGCAACATTAATCAGTGATTCCTCTTGTCTGATGGATTAGTGTCTTTGTCCTTTTTTAAAAACTTTATATTGTTTATATATATAACTTTCCAGCTTTATAACTTTATAACTGTAAGTAGATATGTTAGATATGTAAATATCTAACATATCTAATATGTATTACTAAATTGAAATATTAAAAAAAAAACATACTAAACTATGAATGTTAAAACTGGATACTCACGTATTTTGTGATCTGCAGATATGTGATGCTGCAGCATGTAAAAACTTGGCCAAAATGCAACTGCACACAAACCAGGCAAGCAAAAAATAAAAGAAACAAACACAAAGACTTTCCCATATTTCCAGTGTTTGTTATCTTAACTGCAATGTCTGCACATATCTCTGAAAACTATGTCAGGGAAATGTATTTTATTAAATGTCTTCTGATGCATAAACTGTAAATATACAACAGACTGTTTTCCCCCAAATCCTCATTCAACAAGCCTCTAGGGAATGAGGGAAAAAAAACGAGCTCACAGCAGTTGAGCCACAAACAGGCCGGGGGGGGGGGGGTGTTAGAAAGTCTTCTTAGTGGCCCTGTGAATTTTTTCCATATTTAGCCTGTGCTGATAAGACTGTTGGTTTGTGATCAAACAACAATTTTTTGTAAATATAGTGGAGCTTAACATGCTACAAATGATGTTTTTCTCCATTTGCATCATTACTAAGCAATGAACTCCATTCAGTTCGACTTTGTCAGGTTAAAAAGTCGTCAAAAAAAATAAAGAAAGATAGATTAAATCTGTTTTTTGTGTGCTAATGTAGAATTTGTGAAATTTTAGAAAACTTAAAGACTTTAGCCCTGTTTTGCATGCTACATCATATATATCAATCTGCTCTGTGTCACTGATGGTGATTAACTGATCTTTGTTCATGTGCTCTTATAGTCGGCATCTTTTAGACTTTCCTTTTTTTCTCTCATCTCCCGTTCACAAAGCTGAGAGTTAACTTGAACCACTTGGCAAATGGTTACTACTAAAATATAGGCTACAGGATAAAACTACTAGCAAAGCTAAGGCTACAAACAACACAAAATAAGAACTTACTAGAATAGATAGATAGATAGACATTTGCAGTTAAACGTTATCATTTGCCACCAAACATTTCATCTTTGAAACATTTTATTTAGTCCAATATGTGATGCAGATAACATAGCAATTGCTAATTTGATTCAATGTACAGATTAGGACCACCTGTAAGTTTCCCACTATTAATTAGAAAAGTGGAGATATGCCAGAATATGTTTAAGAAGTAGCTGAAAGATGTTTACATCGACTGTTAATCAAAAACTGTCCCCACTACTCTCTTTATTTTGAACAATGACTGACAAACCTTGTGCTCATTTATAGCATGTACAGTTACGCGCCTTTAAACGGTGAGTTCTACTGCATATTTCACTACCAACAACTGTTCAGACGAAAGGGGAATTACGATGAGGGATTTGGACACGCTCAACACAAGGATCGATGGCTTTTGAAGAATGCAGCTGATTTGGTGCATGATGAATCTGAGGCATGAGCAGTCAGTAGACATGTAAGTACCACAAGGCATTTTGATTTTATGAATGTTTGACTAATTCCATTGATTGATTATTATAAAATTGGGCTCTCTTTCTATCCTCAGCTCAGATGAGACGGTGAAGGCACAGAATCTGTGTTTGAGGCCATCCTGTCCAAGCTTTGCAGTGTGTTCATGTGCTTCTTGTTAATGAATGATAGCGTGCCGAGACATAACCTACAACTTAATTGCAACGATAGGTAACTAAATTTAGAAACTGGGCAGGGCCTGTACATACTCACACATGTAAATGCACTTTAACTTAAAAGTGAATTTACAAAATAACTTTACAGCTTTTAAAAATAATTCTTGTAAATACTGTTGTAAAATGCAAAGAATTAAACAGATTAACATTAAATTAAGAAACTGTTTAAAGTGCGATAAAAAAATAAATCAGAAATTAGCTTGATTTTATTATTATTGCATAAAAGCAATAACACTTAGGACTTTTTTGTTGTTCTTGTTTTATATCGGTAATACAAACTATGAAAAGGCAAATGCATTAGGATTATTATGTCTGTACAGATCACAATAAAGAAGACACGTTCCTTCACTTTCCATTACTGCTGAATTGTCGGTGCTCAATTCTCCTTCCTGAGTGCTCATAAATTACATTTAAAGGTGCCATAATGATTCTGTTCACTATAACTGTGATTAGCTCTGTGACATAACATTTGAATGAAAATAAAACTGCATTAAATTTTACACGAGCACGGAAAGAGCAAAAAGAAACCAAATAAAACCAAAATCTTGACTCTCCTCTGGTTTTGGGATTTGTCTAAATTTCTACCTGGCAGCAGAGCCTCCTCATTGAAGCGTTGCATCCCCAGCTCTTACCTCCACAAATACATCTAATTAATATTTAAACCAATACAACCAAAGGCTGTAAAAACAGTCCTCTCACTTCCTTCCCACTTCACTTTATCGTAGTAGGTGACACATCACTCAAAACACCAGGCGGTAACTTGCAATATTTTATTTATCCAGTGCATTTAACAAAATACTTTGCATAAAAAAAAAAAGGTTTCACCTTAGTGCAAGAGACAAAAACATAGAAAAAAATACTTCTGTACATGCAGACAACTGAGATAAGTTACGCAATCTGTGGAAAACTGCTCTGATTACAGACACTGTTAACTTTTAGCCCAATTCCTCTGTCTGTAAATGATGTGTATGGATCTCAGCATGTTTGTTGTAACACAAAAACATAACTAAATATATGGCTATATCCATTTTTTGTACACTTTTAGAAGTTAATATAAAAACTGAGAAATTCTCTTTCAATAACTAATAATCAGCCACTTAATACACTGTACATTTCAGTTTTTAACATAACAAATTTATACTTAGTCCCATTATGGTTTCAATAAAAATTATAGCTTGTGTTCTTCAACTTCTTCAGCACAATATCCGTCTCCCTTTGCTTCATTCACTGGGTTTCTAAGTCAAAAAAAGAAGAAACACACTTACTGATAGTGCATTTATCTTACTTCAGTGTGATCTGGAAATTCAACATTGAGGGTTTCAGGCAGCAGGAAAGAGAAACATCCAGCAACAACAGGGACAATGTCATATGCTAGCATTGGGATGATGGGATGGTAGCTTTCCAGTTGCCTGATCAGTGGTGCGATTATACCCGCCACTCAAGCACACATGGAGTTCAGACCTACGCCATTATGCCTGCACAAACATAAACTGGGGTGATTTTTGCAATGCTTTACATTTTACTGATTAGCTCGAAAAATCAATCAAACCGACACTTAGCAGAACTTGTTGCTGTAAAATTCACTGTAAGATTATGTACTAAAACAAACACAAAGAAAAGAAAATCTTGCTGTTACCAGAATCACTGCTGGTGAGTGACGTTACCTTAAAACTCTGGGGTATAATTCTGCTGTATAAACGTAGACTGTGCTGAAAGAAGCAGTGGCAGAAAATTTCCCGAGCACAGCTAAGACTGTTACCACCACGGAAAGATCTGATAGGGCAACAGTAGAAAATCACATGGAAAACTCAGCCCTCGAGTGACTTTTTCTTTAAATCATAACAATAGATTTCAGATCGGGAAGATACCTTTTGGCACAGCAAGGACCACAAAGCAAGCGGTATCTCCAAAGAGTAGGAAACACGCTTGACATAGCCTCCTTCCAAAGTGCTGAATTAGAGTCATACCGCACAAGTTTGCAGGAATTTCAACAACAGCAAAGATCAACTGTGTGAGATAAACATTCCTACATTCAGACTCAGTCCATAGAACAGAAGACTAGAGCAAACCTAGAGTTAGAGGTCACAGTGATATTTTTAGTTTCAAGTTGTTTTTGTGATTTATTGTTTAGTTATTAAAGAATACAGCATGCATGTGATTTCCATTTGAGAAGACGCACCAGTCAAAACCCATTATCAGAAAACGTTTTCTCAGATATGAAATGCGGAAGATGTCCAGTACGTTTCTTCTTTCAGATGTAGTCTCCATCTCTATCTGAAGGTGGAAAAGAATCTTTAGAAAACATTGATATCATATGGATAAACCAAAGTTCTCTGTGTTACATGTTATTCACATTGTTTAGGACATCTTCTGGTACTTTTTTTCTTATTGACTCTGGCTGCCCGCTGGAGCTCCTTTAGTGCCTCCTCCTTCCTGCCCTAAATGATCAGCCATTGAGGCTGATGCTGGCAACAGCCTGTTAAAAAGCAGATTCAAACCTGTATGAGCTTTTAGTTTTCAGCAATGTTTAAAAATATGTTCATTATGATGTGAAAAGCTTCTGACCTATAAAAAGCCACCAGGACAATGATCAGAGGGTAAAAAAGCACTAGCTGCAGGATTCTCCAGTTTTGGATCAAATAGGCAATACCAGCCAGCAGAATCTGTCCAACAGTGAAGAAAGCTGTGATGGACAGATTCTGCTAAATGCAGACTTTGAGGGATCAGTCCATCCCAAGGCTGTAAGATAAACAAAAAATTACGCATAATGGTTTATTTCTGCTTTAATGTGAACAAAGTAAGTTAATAGATCACATCCTTTGTTAAGCAATGAAAGCCATGAAGAGTCAGATTAGATGGACAGCGTTTGTTAACAGCAGTTTTCAGATCTTGCCACAGATTCTCGATTGGATTTAGACACCAGACAGGTCAGGGATAAAGTTATTGAGAAATTTAAAGCAGGCTTAGGCTACAAAAAGATTTCCC